GTTTTTAAAAAAAAAAAAAAAAAAATCCACTCTACAACGTAATGCAAATGCACAGAACTAAAGAAACAACACATACCTGTTATGAATCTGCAACCCTGTTGGATTTTATTAACCAAAGAATGCTAGTTACTAAAAGAGATTCGGCTTTGCGCTGTAGTTAGAGTTGTATTAAATTGCATAACGATAAAGACTTTCTGCGTGACCAACAACGTCGCCTAACTCGAGGACGAAAAGTATTTGTTTATAGTTGATATTTATATTAAATTAAATTTAAATAGTAATTCATATCATAATTAAATTATTAAAACAAATAATACAACACAAAATTGTATTCATTTGCGTGGGGTAATTTGGTCGAAATTGAATATTGAAGTAAAGTTTCATCCGTTATAAAAGAAATGCTAGATCTCTCCATCTTCATTTTTTTTTTTTTTAAATTTACAATATATAATTTAATAACGGTGGTGTTGAAGTCAGTTCGGATACACTTTGGCTATATTACCTGTGAGGCTGTGAGTATATGTTTCCTCTCATCAACACATATACCAGTAATTCCGTCAAAAATTAAGACTTAAGCAAATGGAGAAGAAAGCACCGGTAATACGTATGAACTACCAACAAAGGTTGTAATAGACTTTTAAGTATGAAGTTACTTATGGTAGAGAGCGTTTTACTTCTCCCAAAGTGGAATTTTCAGGTGCACATCCGGACTAGTCGGGTCCCAATACAAATACGGGCTGCATAATTAAAAAAAATAAAATAAAATAAAAATTATAATACAACAAAATCTTGGGGAGGAAAAGAGAAAACAGGAAAGAGAGAAACGGGACCTTTTTTCCCCCTTAAAACAAGTTAATATTTAAATGGACATAAATAGAGGCAAAGAAGGATTAAAAATAGGTGTTGAATACGAAACACGAGAGTCCCTCGCCGTCTGGAAGAAAAGCCAAAGCCAAAATCAAAGTCACGCAAAAAGAAGAAGAGAAAGAATTAAGCAAAGAAAAAACGAAAGGCTGCCCCTCTCTTTCTCTCTTTGGACTCATTCCTTTCAATCGCATCTCTCTCTCATATTCTTTTTATTTTAAAAGCATATAGCATAACATCTAAGACAATAGAGGCAAGCAAAGCAAAAGAAAACAGAGTTTTTGAAGGGAAAAAACAGAAGAAAAAAGATAAAGTTTTAGGTATAAACAAAGTGTTTGATGGTGTTCTTGGCAATAGTGGTTATGTAGAAAATAGTGCAGCTCGATCACTATAAAAATAAAGCCAAAAGGTTGGCAAGAAAGGTGACTTTCTTTTCCTTTTCGACCTTCTTTTAGACAGTGGTGCACCGTTCGAAACTATTTGATATTTTTCTCTAAATTGATTTTGAAGGGTCATTGAAGAAACCACTATAGTTTATGGCATCTTCTTCTATTTCATGATGTTTAAGTATAAGCCTTTATTAATAGCTCCTTCCCCTTCTCTCTCTTTCTCTTTTCTCTTTCTATCCCCACCAATTGCACCTCTTCATTGACATTTCCCACACCCATAAACTTATCTTCATTTATTCATATAAAATTCTCATTTTCCAAAAATGGCTGTTCAAGCTCAATATCCATCAAATGTTCTCTTTCTAAACAGAAATGTACAAGAAGGAAAGAGCCAAATTGTCAATAATTATTCATTACAACCTCAACTAGGTGGAGGTTTTGGTGAATCATTTCTTGATCCAACACAAATGCTATTCAATCCTGGAGGTAAAGTTTTACTACTACTTTATTTTCTCTTCTACTGATTAAACAATTGTGTCTTAAGCACATAAATTTGAATGCCACATAGAATAGACTAACATGGATTTTTTTGTATAATTATTCACGCCCCGACGGTCCATTAAAGAGGAAGCGTTTCCTATTAGAATATTTTTTTTTTTTTTTTTTTTTTTTTTTTTTTTTTTTTTTTTTTTTTTAGGATTTGAACTCGAGACATCTGATTAAAAGCGAAAAAGACATTCCTACTTTCAACTAGTCGATTAATTGATATTCAAGGCAAAAAAGAACTGGCGTTATCTCTGATTTTGCAATGCCAGTTGGGGCGAATTCACGAAAGAGAGGAAGAGAACATACCACAAGTAATACAACAGCATCAATGAATCCATTGATCTCAATGCAATCTCAGCCGCAGCTCATTGATCTAACTCAGCTTCACACACCGTCGCAGCAACAACAACAACAAACAACTATCGTATCTACTGGTCTTCGTTTAGCTTTCGAAGATCAATCGCATCAACAACAACAGCGACAACAATACTCTGTTTCTCCTCAATTCTCTCAATCATCAATTTTGTTAAAAGAAGGCTTGGCTTCTCATTTCAAACAGCAACAAGACGAAATTGAACATTTCCTGCTAGTCCAGGTATGACCGAATACTTCGATGCTTTTTATTATAAAAAAAAAATATTAATCCTTAGCATTTTACAAAATTGCTTTTTTCGTGCTTAGAATTTGTCACTTACAAATTACTAAAAAGAGCAATTAACTTGTGATTTAAATCAATTTTACAACAAACGATCGTTTTGGAATATGTAATGTATGTATATGCGGATTACTTAATAAATGACATGATCGTGTAATTTTTTTTAAAAATATTTTTTTAATTTTTGTATAGGGAGAACAGTTGAGGCGTACGTTAGAGGAGAAAAGGAAACGGCACTATCATGCGCTGTTGGGAGCAACGGAGGAAACAATAGCACGAAGGTTAAGAGAAAAGGATACAGAAGTAGAGAAAGCAGCGAGACGCAATGCGGAGCTAGAAGCGCGTGCTGTACAACTGACAGCGGAGGCGCGTGCGTGGCAAACGAAGACACGTGAGCTGGAAGTCACGGCGGTAACGCTGCAAGCGCAGCTACAGCAGGTGGCAATGATGAACGGCGGAATGAACCTGCCGGAGAGAGATGACGGCGGCGGAATTTCCTGCGGCGGCGAGGCGGAAGATGCCGAGTCAGCTTATGTTGACCCGGACCGGGTCGTTGAGTCAACTGGACCGAGTTGTAAAGCCTGTCGAAAGCGGTTCGCCTCAGTTGTGCTGTTGCCGTGTAGGCATTTGTGTCTTTGTACAAAATGTGATGCTGTGGCCCAATCTTGCCCATTGTGTCGATCAATTAGAAGCTCAAGTGTTGAAGTCTTTCTCTGTTAGCCCAATATTAGGCCCAGGCCCACCTTATTTCTGGCACAAATATGTGCAATTCTAACATATCTCATGACGGTGGAGTAAAATAAAATAAGAAAAGGAAAAAAGAGGAAGCAAAGAACACTATTCTTTAAGTTTAGCGATGCAAGGTTTAAAATTCAGCGAATTATTTGCTCTTCTATACTTCTTCACTTAAATACGAATATTTTTTGTTGGGGCAGAGTTCAAAGTCTTGATGTGTTATAATCCTAAGTTGCGCTCTTATTACTGGACAAAAGTCTTGGCGTCAAAGAACTACTTATTTTCTTTGAGATTTTCTTCATTTCTTTTTACTCTTTCTATTGGGTTTTTCTTTTTGGAAACCAAATTAAGGACTCAAAATCATTTACATTCTTCAATCTTCTTTTTTTTATTAGCACGTGGTGGACTCACAATCCACTGCCTTGATTGGTGGGGAAGGTAAAACAACTTTGGAGACATATAAATTGTTGGACATGGAAAGTTATTGCCTTTTCTATCCTTTTTTTTTCTTTTTTAAAATTACAACTCATTTGTAAATTCTTTTATTCGCTGTCCTGCAATTTCATGTGTCTAAATAGTGTTATTCATACTTTTCCTTTCACACGGTCTAAATGTTGTGACTAAGAGATGGGACATATATTAGGGAGAAATTGTTTTAAAATAAAAAGATATGGTGCAAATAAAAAAATAACGCATATGTATGAGACAAATAGTGAAAAACTGAATGATATATGGTACAAATCAGAAAATGGTGCATTGAATAAGGATGCAAAATGCAACAACAATAACAACAACCAGTATAATTTCACTAGTGGGTTCTGGGGAGGGCAGTGTGTACGCAAATCTTACCCCTGCCCTGGGGTAGAGAGGCTATTTCCGATAGACCCTCGGCTTCCCTCTCTCCAAGAACTCCTCACTTTGCTCTTGGGGTGACTCGAACTCACAATCTCTTGATTGGAAGTGGAGGGTGATTACAAAAACTTTCATATAGTGAACCAACCCACTTCTTCCGCTAAAAAGAAAAGAAAAGAAAATAGGATAACAAGGGATTATAGTATGCTTTAATCTTTGCCTAAAATATGAAATGGTAAAAGATCTTGTGAACTACAAGTTCTAAATAAGTTGAAAAGATAGCTTAATTACAGCTTCTACAAGAATTTATAGGAACTCCTAAAGCCACATTAATTAATTTACTGAGGGCATCAATTGCAGCCAGTAGAAGATAACAACCACACTACTGCAAAATTTATAAAGATCGAGTGACAAATGAAAAACCAAGCACACTATGCATATCATTCCTTGTTCGGACAAATATAGTTTGATATCATCACAATACCTTTTGTCAACTAGAATGGTAACAAAAACTACTAAGGAAATTTTAGAAGATAGGAGGCAAATTAAAGTCACCTACCATCCTAATTTATTATTGGATACGATAGATTATAAACAAGGCTACGCTTCACTTTAGCGTAGCCCTTGTGACCCCAATTCTCTCCCCAGATAATATTTCTCTCCTCCTTCTCCATATCCCACAATTACTAGGTTTTCTTCTTCTATAATTTAGTGAGAGATTTGAAAATGGAGAGACGAAAGTCAGAAAGCTTATATGATTCTGTTTTCTTCAAAGTTCTACCGTTTTCTTTTGGTATTCAATTCTTCTGTTTGGGGTTCCAAGTTGAGGGAATTCATAGGTGGTTTGTACTGTTGATTACTTATGTTTTACTGTTTTTTCTATTGATTATTCCACTCTAATTCTCTGCACATTGGTACCCCTTAAACTCTTATGTAATTTTTTGATGAAGACCTTGAAATAAGATCTTGACAGTTATACTTATTCTCGCTTTTAGCATGATTTTGTGTTTATTTTGGGTAAAGAAGCATGTTAGGATATCAACAAGTTTGATTTGTTGATATCCTTTAGCACGTATAACTTGAATCCTTCTCAAAGATGTTAAAATAGGAAATAGGTCTAAAAACGTGTTTAATTTTTCAATTTCAACTCAAGTGGCAGCTTTCAAGATCATATTTAACCTTGTATAGGGTATAGGGTGTAGAAAGGAATCAATAAAATTTATGCCAGGTCGCCCACCATTTTTTGAACTCAATAGCCCATAACAAGAAGTCATTAAGCCATTTATCAAGAACGTGCATATGCTTAAGACATAAGATAGTGTGCTTGGCATATAGATCCGATCTATCAACAACAATAAGTTAACGAGACGTTAGTCATGTGTTTATAATACATCATCTTGGATCTTGTTATCTAAAAAATTATCTATCAATATGAATATTTAAGTAGTTTAATTTAAATTCCTGAAATATTAGGCAAAGTTCTACTAAAAACTTAAGAATTTGAAATAAAAAATTAAAAACTTGGAAATGCAATTTATCACATTCTTAAAATTGCCATACAACAAAATATTGAAGAATTTTTATTGGGTTTGGTGGCGATCAAAGTTAGTAACTAATTTGCAACTTCAAAAAAAATTAAATAAAAAATATATGGAAAAAAAAAAAGTTCACTCGGTTGGAAAAACCTTTACCTTCTCTTTTCCTTTATTTCAATTGTCTTCTCCTCTCACCGCTCACCATTTCTTTCACAGTAGAAATGAACGGTAACTTCAAGAATACATCCCACAAATCAACGAAGTCACCATTCATAAAAAAAAAAAATTGATGCATACAAATTAAGTTAGCATATCAAAAGATATAAACAACACTTTTTATAGTGAAAATATTCTTTTCTCTAAAGATGAGAAATTGAGAATGATAGAGGCATGGCACTGAAGGTGGCTCGGTAGTAAACTATTTTTTAAATGGGGTAAAATTGGGTATTTCTATATAGTTAATTGGCTACAATGATTTACAATGTAACCTAATTGTTTACTAAAATATACTGTACATAATTATGGCAAACAATAGGTGTATTGGATTTCTAACACTAGAAGCTTATAAAGCCAAAGGGGTATCAATGATTTGACATGGAGATCTAAAAGAATACATCTTGACGTTACAATATCTGAAAAATCAAGGTATATACGGTTTGGTACCTTCCAAAGAAATTTCTAATGATTTTTGGAACGGTAGAATCTGGTCCACGCTTTAGTTTGAGTACGACTACGGCTATGAAAAGCTTGTCGAAAGAGGAGGAACAAGCATAAACTCGACTTTTAAAGTTTCAGTTGCGCCCTCCTTTCTGGCCTGGTTGGGCAGTCGTGCAACCTTTATTCATTAGTCATGCAGTTTCAAAAAAAAGACTTTGTGTGAAGTTATGGCGTAGCGTGACACCTTTTGGCTTCACGTTACAGCATGCCTCACGTGTAATCCAACCAACTTTTGAACTTCAATATTTTTTTGCTTTTTGCTACTATATCAATCTCAAACTCGCTTCCAATGCATTCCCAATATATAGGAATCATTTAGTACAACATTTTGCACAACATACTTAACCCCAACATGTAATCTCAATAACACATTTGAAGCACAAAATGAATTTACGAGCATTATTAAGAAACTCGCCAGCATTAGATACCGTTCAAGATTGAAAATTACACCCCATATTGGGTAAATTTTTGCATGTATATACTCAATTAAGTTACATAATTTACAATGTGACCGTAGAGTTTACTTATAAATATACCAATCGTACATAATTATCCCAAGCAATAGATGTTATAGATTTCTAACTCTACAAACACTATAAAGCCAAAGGGGTCCCTTGATTTGACATGGAGAAAAAAAGACATCTTGACGTTACAATAATGTCTGAATAATCACAAGGTAAACAATTTGGTACTATCCAAAAATCTCTTACTCCCTCCTGTCGACGATCATTTTAACTTTTTATTTTGATTCAAAATAAGTGTTTATTTATATAATCAAGAAAGAATTAATTTTATTTTTTTAAAATTTACTCTTATTTACATATTCCAATGTATCGAGGTAATAATTAATTAAGGTTAAATTTAGTAAATATATCTTTTTTTCTCTAGGAGTTCATATTTCCTTAATGGGTGTGTCAAAGACAAAATGGTCATTTATTGTGAATCGGAGAGAGTATGATTTTTCAGACCTCATAGCTATTGTTATGACTTATTTTAATGCTATAAATTTCAAAAGTCATAATTTTTTTTTAAAATTTCGTGCTAGTTAAAATGGTCTTATAAATTGGGATTGAGAGAGTATGATTTTTCAGTCGGCAAAGCTACTGTTAAGTTTCTTATTCGGTATTATTGATTTATGTTAGGTGTGAAGCAACCATTTCAATTCTTGAAATTTTTTCAATGAATGTTGACAACCAAATTTTGCAAAAGCAAAATATTTCTTAGGCCGGTGGTTTGGTGACTAGCCATGTTATCATGGGGACAACACTCTCAAATAAAGAAAGTTGTTTGTGCCATGTACCTTTTTTGTTGGACTGAGTTTCCATCAACAATTACAATTGAAAAACATAGTCCATTTTTTTCCGTCTATATCTTAAGTAAAGTTTCAAATCTCAATTATAATTTGAATTTAAATTGTCGCATTTTCATCATATGGTNGAGAGTAGAAGGATAAAAAGGTTATTTGTCTTGTCTATAAAACAAAAGAGCCTATTTTTGCAAAACATTCAAAAGTGTGAACAAAACTTAAATATCAGACCCAGCGGGGTACATCCTTACATAAATGAGAAAATGACCTTGTATAGCCCCTTAAAATTTTAAGAGAAATTTTCAAAAATTACTATTATTTAGTGGTTATTAATTTGCTATAGCTATCATTTACTTAATTATTTCCTATAGCTATCTTTTCACTTGTTATAGAGTGTATTCGATGTATTAAAGCTATTGTATTCATGAATACAACAGCAAAACTCGACGGAAAATATGGAAGTCCAGCTAACATAAATTGTATTCATATGTATTCGTGAGCTTTATTCGTGAATACAGTAACGAAAATCTGTGAAAAAAAGGTCTCTCCAGTTGTTTAAAAACGGCAAGTGAATCAATTAACATAATCGACTCCTAATATAACTCAACAAACTCAATTATACTTATTACAGTTACTTTTGACTATTGTATTTAGATGTATTTAGATGTATTTTATTTCATTCAATAACTTTTTTAAATACACTAATTGTTCTAGTTTTAGTTATGTATTCCAACTAAGTGTTTTCATCTGTATTCTCAAGCCAACTGTATTCTGCAGTATATATTTGTTGT